TGTTGGTAGCGATGTTTCGGTGTGCGCCAATATTGGCGAGCAAACCTAATGTTGTCGGTTTTTTGTCCACACATCAAAGGATCTTGGTGCGCCGCTAACAGCATACCGCCAAGTAGCCCTCTACACGTTGGGTCAATAGGTCGGCCCAATAATTTGGGCCAATGTGTACTGCGGTCTTATCATTTTGGACCAGCATGTTGGCCCAACACCTTGGCCCCATGTGTAGGCCGCCGGGTTAAGACATTACGTTTGTAAGCGTGTGTATCAAAGTAGTGTACTTTTGAACATCGAATGTCTTAACTATCTGTTTCTTGAATAGGCTTATTTTCACTTACGCGTACTTATTTAAATTTTCTCTTAACTATTTCTGAGGTTGTAATCACACTCGATTTTGAAGTAAAATACCTTGGTTTTTAAATAGAGTAATTTAAGTGTTGAAGAGTTTTCACACCGGGAAAGCATCAACACTGTTTTTTTTATTTGTATTTATTGGTTAGCCAGACTCTTCTTGCAGGACTCATAAGAACAAATCAGGAGACTCACATAATATGAGAACTGAGGGCCTGCCATGACGTATTAAAGCGTCAGTCTTCCGGGCGAGAAAGAGGGATGGAGCTATACACCTTTTATAGCTCCATCCCTCTTTCTCGCCTGAAAGATTCAAGCTTTAACACGTCATGGTAGGCCTACTGAGTCCGTGCGTACGTCGCGTAGCGTTCCGCGCGCGCCTCAAAGAGCCAATAGACCACCACAGACGAGGCCCTATAGGGCTGATGTTCAGCCGGGTTTGCGGGGTAAGCGCAATGAGGCACCGCGACCTCGGCCAGAGCAGGAGAAGGAACAGGGGGGTTTTTACTCAGTAAAAGTCTGACACTCCCTCCCGCCCGGCCTTGGGCGGGAGAAGTCATTTGATGATTTTACCCTGACAAAAAAAACAGTAGTCGCGTTTAGCCCTCTGATTGGTTGATTACTTAGAGCAGGCTAATCAGCCCCTCGCTTAAGGAACGAAACAAATGAATAGAGATCGAAAAGTCACGTGGTCAACAAATGAATTTCCGTAGATTATTTTTGTTTATGAGATAACGATTTTTGTAAGTAAGGCACGCCGTAGGCTCCACAGATTATCTCCTCACTATGTCAGAGAGGAACTCAGTGCTTTCTGGTAAACCTACATCTTTTAAACTAGTGTTCATGTTAAGTGGTTGCAAGCAAGACTTGTAAACATAAGATCCTATACTTAGTAAGTACACGGTTTACAAATTGAGAATAAAGTTTTTCTATTGTAGGTCATACAACAAACTTTACCTAAATAATACGACACCAATTACAGTTGAATTACACGAATAAATCCTTTGCCTACTTTCGGGTTGAATGAATGATGAATAATATGATTTCTCATGCCGCCAAGATCGTGCCGACACGGTTTAAATTTTTTTGCGAACTTATATAGAATTTTTAATTTGTTTTAAAAGTGTTACAAGAGGTACAATATTACCTGACACTTCTGCTACTTACCTGCACGAGAGGTAGGTATACTTACCTATTAAAAGCCATAAGCGGATAGATAGGTCGGACCATATTGGAAGTCCCATAGTCCTATTCTCTAGTCTTGAGTCTTTTAATCTATAGCTATACATCCTGTGGAGTGGAAAAGTCTTTGATTCTTTTTTCTTCTTCCATTTTGCTTCTACATTCTTCCTTTTTTATGGTCGGCAAACGAGCAGATTGATTACCTGGGCGCCCATAGACACCCGCAACACCGAATTAGTTACGAGTGCGTCGTCGGTTTCGGATATTTAAGGATTGGGGTGGGATGGCGGGAGGGGAATGAGTGTGCTTCCTTCTAACAAAATCAACTTAGTCCTACCAAACCGATTCTGATAGAATTACTTATAACAACTATACAAATATAAAATTCACGATGAAGTCACGTTAAATAAATCAAATACATAGCAGCATAAGCCTTTGACTGCGAACAAAAACAATTGAAGATAAATCCTCCACTACTTTAGGTGACCGGCCGTGGCGGCTAACTGTGTTAATGAATGATGTGATCCATATTTCTAGGTTTCCTATATTTTTTATACAAAAACTATCACACAGTCACTTGCATAATAATGAAACAATAGCCTGAATGAGTGATCAATGTCAGATCTTGACTACAATAGCAATATGTATTATGTAAGAGTTAATTATTTACCCAGGCCGTAACACTTGGTGGATGGTATGAAAGTACAACAATAGTGTTATTACTGGTCGCCTGTCAAAATAACTACATAGGTACATAACACTACAAAATAAAATAATAACTAAATAATGTGTTGTATTTTGTCTGATACCTGCTAATGTCTGTGGTTTTTATTGAGTTATTGTTGTCACTTTCGAATTGAAGTTTTGTCAAAGCTTGTGATTTTCGTATCAATGATAACGTACAATGTTAAACACACTCTTCAAATTATAATATGAAATACATACTTGTTTCAATAGTTAGATGTCGAAAAAATATTAGACCCGTTTTTTTTACTTCAGGAGTGAGTGGACACTACGCCGTATTATAAGATACTGGCGTGCCGCCGTGTTGATATTTCAATCTGACATTTAGTCGAAAGTAATTGATTTACTAATAAAATTAAAAAACATGTGAAATTGTTTTAGTTAAAACTTAAATCACTCATCATTTCTATTGAGTTAAGGAGTAGGAAACAGTGATTGTTAATGTTCATTTAGCTGACAAATCATTGTAATTTATTGAGATCCATATTTGACGATGTCATGATGGACTTAGTATTATAAAATAGCACGTAGAGAAAGTCTAGATTGAATCGTAGGAAATGACAAAGATTCTTCGACTATCTGACGACGAAGATCAAATGTGAAAAGTGACAAATGCAGCAGGTCGCGTAAACATGGCCGTGCTGAGAATTGTAAGTTTATCTTTTTATGTAATGCAGATGTGGAAAATTATAAAAAAAAAGAAACTGGCTTTAAACCGACTATGGCGAATACTGCTAATAGGTACTACGTTCATAATAGCCAGAAAAGAAATATTAGTAATTTTAAACCTTAAGAAGGAAGGTCAAGGTATCAAATATAACGGACATTCTCAATAACCAACCGTCACAACTATAGATTTGGCAATTTTTGTTTTGAGTGGATAAAATCAACTCTTGAAATAGTAGATAGAGGGAATATCAGGACACTTGCTGACTAAAAACCTCGCCATTCGTTCTCCAGCTGTGACCTGGGTCGCAGTAAGAGACACTTGCACTAGCAACTCCGATTGGACGTGGCTACTACTACTAACATAGCATTTTTAAACACGTGTCATTCACAATGAGGCAACAACCTACAAAGTTGGTGTTGAAGGTGTCATTGACTTGATAAACTTCTTGATAACTTGGTAAATTAAATAGACCCCTATCTAAACTAACAATGCTAGGAACTGAACGCATACTTCACAATGGTTGGTTGCTTGTATAATGGACAGTTATGGTTTTGTAGCGGCGTTTACCTTCAGAGTTATACGTTACGACCGAAGTGGTCATGAACATTACATGTACATATGCTTTACTAAAGAATTTAAGTATTTTAGTGTCGGAGTGATATGCTTCGGCATGAATGGGCCGGATCGACCAAAGCGGTACCATGGCGCTTATATCCATGAACGTGCCGTTCATGTTTGCGAATCTAACTACAAAAAACAGAAAATTTGAAAATATCGTATCACTTCCGGATGAGTGTGTATTGTGTGTTACGAGAAATGTGTTTGTCTCGAGCGATAGTGAGAGATTATTTGTCTTCCCTACGCAAGGAGGCGTCAAAAGATTTATAAGATTCAAAAGAACACCAAACAAACGGGGTGAGCTAAATAAAACCGTTTAAAAAAGAGGACAAAAGGAAGAAATTCGGTTGCTTATAAATAAAAGCCTGCCATACTAGTTTGCTACGAGTCACCAAATAGAAAAAGTTACGACTACTTAAACTTATCCCTTAACTAAAGTTAAGGTAAAATCATCGAAAATAAGCAAACAACCAAGTAAATAGTAGCATCAAAATACTCTTAGTTTCGCGGTAATGTCAACATATACAGTTAGTTTACGTACACGGTCGTTCATCTCGTGCCAACGTCTCGCCTACAAATTACATCAATGAACGAAAGTGCATCCGATCTCACTGGCCGGTTGTCGCCAATGTCAGTGTCAGAAAATAGTAACTGTCTCCTTTAAAAACTTGAAAATAGAATATGGAGTTCTACGAATTTTAAATGGGACTAGGTACTGGTGGTCACGATTGATTTAGGTTTTTTTCTTTTCTTTCGCTTTATGTGCCAATTTTCAGTTAACAGTTTAAAAATAATGGTTTTTATTGTTTATAATTGTCTAGAGTTACTAACTTAATAACTCTATCTTTTATATAATTGGGGTTATTTTAGTCAATGGTTAGTAATACTAATGCTAACCATAGGCTAAAAGAACCCCAATTTCAAAAGACGGTTATATTGTTGAATTTTAAAGACTTACTACCAATGCTGGACATTGCTATTTAACAAATATTAATGAACAAGTTACGTATGAACGCATCACTTGCTAATTACAGTGTGAAGAATTGACTACTGTGTAAAGATACGCACATTTCCTTACGGAACGCTCAAGCGTATAAATTAAATTGCTACTAGTTGCAATACTAAAATATATCAATTGATAAATTGAGAGCAGTTGTAATGAGGTCGCCTACAGTACAGGCTCCGTATGACATCTGTGTCGATAAGTGCAACAAACCGTGATCGAGTATGACGCAACGCTTCCGGATTCTATTACCTCATTGTTGGGTTCGGAAGCTCAGTGGCTCGCTCCCATTCTTTCAGCCGGTGCCGCGGTGCAGTGAAAGGGTCCTCCGATACACTTTTACCCTTCCGTCAGTCGGGTGCGCGCCACCGATCGCTCTCTTATAAATTCGGTGAAAACACAGCGACATCACATTACGAATTCGGCGGCAGCACAAGCAAGCCGGCCGATACACGCAGATAGTTGTTTGTGTTGTGTTACAAACATTGTGAAGTGATTTAGTTTCATCTACGCGACGAGTATATTAAATAAGAATTTAAAATGAAATTCACGGTGAGTTCGCGTTCTGTGGAAAAGTGCAATATTAGAATTAAGTGATGTGATTATAAGGACTACTCATATGGAGATTTAATTGGATTTTAAGGATGTGCGAATTTTAAATGTTTAATGTCTTTATCATAAAATACTAAGTAGCAAGTGAAAATAATATTTTCTTAAAATAAAATGAACAATCAAAGGATACTAGATATAATAAAAATATCCATTAAATAAATAGGTAGTAATACTTATCACCAATCGTTTATTGTTAAATGAGACATTCTGAAAGTGATTGATGATCTTCGATTATTACTATATTCATATTGAAACGATCGATAAATATAGGTCTACACGTCTATAAATTTATATATATTATGATATTTAAAGTAAAAGTGGAAAAGTGAAATTTATATAATGTGGGCGTAAATATTAACATTACCATGCGGGTCGCCGTTAAACTTGCACTTGCGCGACCACTGCAGACATTCGGAAACCAGTTTTTGAATCACTTTTGGTTTTAATATCGTATTTATTGTTATTATTTAACCTCCATCCCAAACAAAAACTGTTTAAAAAGTTGTAGAAGTATAGAATTATATTTTTTGTTACAGATCGTTTTTACCACACTCTTGTGTATATCAACATCATGGGCCGTGCTGGCGAAGAAGGTAGAAGACCATCAAGACAAGCGTGAGGCGCCCGTAGGATACGGGTCCTCCGGCCTGTCCGGGCACAGCTACCATGCACCATCTCTTGGACAAGGAGACGCCAGTGCCATCAGTGTAGGCGCCGGCTACAGCATCGGTGGAGCCAAACCTTCCTACAGCTTTGGCGGTCAAGGATCAAGCGGAGCCCTCCAATACTCTGCTGAAGGCTTATCCCAGTTATCCCCTAGCAGTCATGGCAACATTCAGTTACCTCCCATTACTCTGCAACCCAGTCATGGAGCTGCTTTCGCTAGTGGAGATCTTTCTCAGTTGATGAGCCAGCTTTCCCACAGCCTAAACGCAGGAGGAATATCACTTCAGCCATCCACGACCGTTGCCGAATTCCACCAGGGAGCTGATGGTCAAACAGCACAGGCATTACAAGGCGCTCAAGAATACTCTTTCCCTCAATTCTCGTACGGAGCTCCTAAACAACAGCAACAGCAGCAATATGTCTTGTCAGAGCAGCTACAACAGCAGCTTTCTAGTGCACCTTCATATTCCGCTGGCACTAAGGGCTTGGGATCGTACTCTACTGGACCCGTTTTGTTCACTCCTTCCGAGAGTCAGTCCAATAACGCCCCTGCGCCATCTTATGGAGCACCTAGCTCTGGACACTCTTTAGGTGATGCCGGTTCACTTTCTCTAGGAGGCGGTAGTCATTCCCTAGGTGCCCTTGGTCTTGGAGGATCATCACATGGTTTTGGTGGATCTTCGCATGGTTTCGGTGGATCTTCTCATGGTCTGAGTCTTGGTGGTGCTGGACTTTCTCTAGGTGGTAGTGGTCATTCTTTCGGTGGCCAATACAAACACTTAAATGGATTCGCTGGTCCTAGTAAATCTTCTTTCAAACCCTCTGCGTACTTAGGCTCATCAGTGCAAGGAGACTCAGTTCTTGGACTATCTAGCCAGGGTCTGTCTAGCCACGGATTCTCTGGTCATGGTCTATCTGGAATTTCTGGATCTTATGGCGCTCCATCTTTCGGCAGCTACCGTGGCGCTAGCCATGGTTCCTTGTCTCTTGGCTCTGGTGGTCATAGTTTTGGAGGGTCTCAAGGTTTTGCTAAAGGTGAAGGTTTAGAGAGTGCTAGCGCTTTCTCATCAGGTCATGTAGCTCCTCCTGGAACCACATACGGTTTCCCTACTTCCTCCTACTCATCCAACAACGCCCACGCAGCTTCATCCAACAAGCCGTACTACGTCAGCGCAAAGCATCACCAACACTCTGCCCCAAGCTTTGGAGAAGGTAGCTCATCATATAGGTCACCAGTTTCCAGCCACAGTGCTCTGAGCTCTTATTCATCTGGCCCTAAATATAGCTTTAGTAGCTCAAGCTCTCATTATGCACCAAAAGACGCGTACGGCGCTGCCAGTGAGACTTCATACAACACTATTAAGTACAGCGAGGAATTGAAGCCACGTGCTCATTAAAAGGAGACCTGGAGAGTAGTTTTGTGTAAATAGGTAGTAGTAGTAGGTAGTTGGCAGTATTGTGTGAGGGGTGCGTAGGCGTGATACGAATGATGGCATGGTGTATGTGAGCGAAAGTGTTGCTCTTGGTCTTATTTATTTGCGTACGTTCCGCTAATTAGCTGTGCGGCCACTTTGTTACTTGGCGCGCGTACGTGTCGTGTTTTGGTTATCTCGTTGGTGTGCTTTCTTTTCGGTAACATGTGTTTATTTGTATACTCAAGTAGCTTGATATCTTTCATCGCAGACAGCTGAGAAACTCGTGTTATTAGAAATAATAATATCGAATCATGATGCGCATCTAATCTAAACAACCGCCCGCTTGAAAGTTGTGTGTAGCGACGTGAATTTCTGTAAATATAGTAAATAGTTAAGGTTGCCTATTTATTATTTTATAAATCTAGTTTTATGGTTGTTATTGTTATAATAAAATGTCAATAAAATATTTGAGTTTCATTTCCCTGAGTAAGTACATTGATAGGTTTTATTGAATGAAAACTCATTCAATGAGTGAACTATCCACAGGAAACATGATACTGCTTGGGTAATCGGCACTTGGCGCGCATCGCCAGTTTCACTCATATGAAAGTACTATAGGAAATTGAAATAAGCCTAATACCGACTCACGCCGGCGTTGTCGCCCCTTACTTCCTTAATCGAACACTAACTCCATGTTGAGAGCAAGTTGACTAGCCAAGAAACTGATTAAGCAATAAATAATATCTCAATTAATGCAGACCGGATCCGTTTTCGACCGTCTGTCAGATCAGATGAGAAAGTAGAGCATTATAGTACTTAATTACAATGTAACAGACAAAACAGTGGGAAAACCTAATATAAACATGATTGATATAACAACGATTAGTAATACTGAATTTCTTATTACATAATGCAACATACAGCCTTTCAAATGTAGAGTAAATAAGGAGATATTTATGCAACAATGTTTTAATAATAAGATTTTTTCAATAAGACAAAGTATAAAGAATGGCATTCAATAAATTATGAATCAGATCAGTTGTTATGACGTGTCATGTGACAGGTAACGCATAAGATGGTTGTTATTGTACGGTCTGTGTAAACAGTTACTTAATACTTCACGGTCGAGAGATCGTGTGCTGTCAGAATGGAAGCACTGCATTCACTTCCGAATTCTAAAACGTTAAATTTCCTTACGCAACGCTCACGTTTTTAAACGCCACCTAGGTATTATGCATTCAAGGTACGATTGTTGCAATCTGGATTTCTATTGTGAGCACATTGATGATGTTTGTCACAACATTAACATTCTTGTGAGCCGTCTTTCTTAGTACAAGATACTTGATAAACATCTCGAATTTAACTCTCGTGTGTTGGTCATCACTGATTTCTTTGTTTTATAGAGCTACTGTTTTGTTTATCTGTTTATGTTAGTTTATCTTGATGATGATTTGATCTTGGTAATGATAAATCAATTACATTTTATAATTTTATCTTGTGTCATCGGTGCGTTTACAAGCTTACGTATTCAGATAGCACCCAGATAAAATGTGTAGCGCCCAATTGCCCATCCACTGCACCAAAAATGCGCAGATTCGTTTACTACTTACGGGTTCTAGCGTAGGTTTACTACGCTTTACGAAAAAGAAGTATTCTTTTACATCTTCTACATTTCTATGTATACCTTTAATATGTATACATAGAGCAAAACCAAGATGAAATGTGTAAACAAACCAAAAGGCTAGATGTCTCTCTCGTTAGTAGGTACTGCCACATTAGATCACACTGCCAACATTTTTCTCTTTTCATTTGCAAAAGCAAAGGGATATAAGAGTGCGGCCAGATACAGGTAGTCTTACAATTGAGGTTTGTTTACAAACATTTCATACCAATGTTGTCATACACTGTCTGTCTATACATTCGGCTGAATTTTATCATCACCATACTGCTAAACTGGTTATTAGATTATTCTACCTCCTTTCTTCGGAGCAATTAAATCCATTCATATGTTTTTGTTTACATTTAAGGAAGGTTCAAAAGGTACAGAAGCTACACTGTCAATAAGCTTTTTAAACGGATTTCATTGTTTTCCATTGACGTGTGTTGTGAGTAATAATGATTCAATTCTTAATTATGTACAGATTATAAACATTGGCGGTAAAGAAATTAGTGAGTCGTGTGTATTTTTATACATTACACGTGCACTTGTTTAATATTATTGTCTCAGGATTTTGTTTCTATAATAAAAAGTATATTAAATAACTAGCTCTACCCGCGGCGTCGCTCCCGTCATTTGACTTCCTACCCTACTCTATCTGCCCTATTCTACCTACCCTACCCTACCTATCCTACCTACCCTAATCTACCTACTCTACCTACCCTGCTCTACCTACCTACTTTCTTTTATATATCGAAATATTTAGAGAATAACGTTACCGGGACACAAAAGTGGTATTTACATGTCTGTAAAGTACGCAACGTTATAAACTAAACTTTTAATCGAATGAAAATTGTTAATTCTCGGATTTGTTTTGGTTGCTTCGATTTCATTTTGATTATGATGGCTTGTTTGGGATGACTCAAAGCTTTGAAGGATTAAAAGGGTAGAGTATGGTTATCAGCTGCTTCAAACATTAGGAGTGCTTAGTTACTTACATATGTCAATAGAATATCTTTATCCAAATAGTGTTCTGTACATTGATTGATCGATAAATACGCAGTGACGCATCCAATGCGCGTCTAAACAGTCCTATCAATCTCTCTGTCACGGCAGTTTAGCAAGTCGCCCTTTCTCAAGCATAAACAAACAGCCATTTTTTTTTACAGAAACTTACCTACAATGAAATATAAAAAAGAAAAAGAAAAATAACGTACTCTCCCTTTTTCATAACAAGCATTGCCCAATCAACTATGGCTCATTAATAGGCCGAATTTCGGGTTTGCGGTGAAGCCATGAAAATTATTAAGTTCTGCTTGAAGAGCTAAATAAATAAAGAATATTGGATCGATTGACCGACTAACTTTTGTTTTTATTATTTTCTTCTTGCTCGAAGGGTTTCGTTTGTCTTTATTTTGTTTGTGTAGATTACGGTCTGGTGACGATACAGTTATTTGGCTATTTGCGTGCCGTTGCAAAATTAGTAATCCTGTTTGCAATCGGGCAGACTGATTATATGATGGTAAGCAATCGGCGGCGGCCATGGATACCCCCACAAACGAATAGGTATATTTTGCATCGATATCACATCACATCATCAGCCTATACATAAGTGCCCACTGCTGAGCAAAGGCCTCTTCTCACAAAGAAAAGGTTTGAGCATTACTCACCATGCTTGCTCAAAGCGGATCGGCGATTTAAAACGTATAGGTAATTAGAAATTATAAGTCCAGGTTTCCTCACGATTTTTACCCTCACCGTATGTCAGTGGTGTCTAGATAGTCTTAGATAATACATATAACTCGGAAAAAGTCACATTGGTACTTACTAGGTTTCGAACCCGCACTCATGTATCAGAAGCAGGCTCCTTAACCTCCGGGCCACCACGATCTCTGTATCTGCATCGATATATAAAAGCTAAATTATGTAACTAGTAGCGTGACTGAACCATCTACGAGTTTATACCACTCCGCAGGAAATATATCAAGCCATTCTTAAATCACTAATAAATACTACTATTAAAACAATAATTTCGTTTACCTATGTAATTAGTACTGCAGCATATTTAAGTTATAAATTGTTTTTATTGCTAGTATTCTGTATGTGACTTTGCTTGCGTGAATTTAGACTTTAAGGACTTAAAAAAAAGTTTTTCCAAAACAACTACGTATTTTTCCATAAATGTAAAGTTGGTATTTCTATAAAAACCGTTTAAAACATATCCAATAAGTAAATAATCCGGCTTATTCATATAGCTGTTCCGAAAACAGTGCTCGAGTAGTTTCAGGTCACGAACGGGGCGTATAAACGAGTGTATCGACAACTATAGGTAAAAAGTAGTACAACCTAATTCTATGTGAACTTAGATATAGGTTGGACGTTTTTCCTAGTGTAGAGTGGACTCTACATATATTTGAGAGAACAAACATACAAAATTATATTCTTTTTATATTAGTTTTCATAAAGGTACAATGTACGCAATTGTTCGTTCATGATAGCATTCATTATATTGTAGTCGTTTATAAATCATAATTAGTTTTAGTGTTTAATCGCATGTGTAGTCAGTTTACAAGTTTGCGTAAATCATGATACAACCTCGGTCCGCTTGAATGCACTTGATAGTTGCGTTTTGAAGTTCAATGTAATGTTTGACTGCAAATAATTGCTGTATTTTGATCATGTAACATTTTTCTTTATATATCATCAAATAATTTCGCCCTGGGTGAGGCGAGAGGGAGTCTGTGACTCTTACCACTGGCTTTAATTCATCACGTTTCTTTTCCTGTTCCGGGGGGTTCGTTTTTCATCAGTGAGTTTGCACCCGCCACCGTGACTTGCCTTCGAAAACCACGGGCCTTAGGTTAGGTTCCTGGGTTAGATAAATTATTATTCTTATTTATAATTGCTTTAGTGTCATGATATTTGTGTAAAGGTTTAATGGTTTTTTCGATTTTATAAATAATAGCTATTCTCCCGCAGTTTCACTTGGTGCTTGGTTCCTATTTATCACAGCGTAATTTTATATAGCTTAAAGCCTTCCTTGATAGTGGACGATACATCAAAAAATAATGTTCAATTCGAATATTATTTTTGGAGAGCTAAAAAGTCTGGAATGTTTGCGGAAGATAGAGTAGATGACTTCTATGCCATTATACGCAAGCGATGGGCATCCATGATGTGGCGATTGAGGGACAGACCTAACAGTAATCTAGCTGTACTGGCAGACAAAATGAATGGGCTGTTTATTGGGCTGGTAAATTAGATATGTATTGTGCGTCCAGTAGGCCTACCACGAAGTGTTAAAGCAGGATAAAAGGTATATAGCTCCATCCGTCTTTCTCGCTCGAAAGATTCACGCTTTAATGCGTCATGGTAGACTCTCTCTTTTTTGTGAGGGGAAAATCATCAAACAACTTCTCCCGCCCATAGTGTCAGACTCTTACTGACTAAAAACCCCCTTGTTCCTTCTCCTGCTTTGGGCCGAGGTCGCGGTGCCTCATTGCGCTTACCCCGCAACCCCGGCTGAACACCAGC